CTACCCAAGCCAGCTGCAGAGTCCAAAACAAAAATGGTTTTGTTTGCTGACAGCAGGGCCTCAATTTACCCCAAAATCCAAACCCTTTTGGGTGGTCAGCTTCAGACAGCAGTCTGAATTTCATTCTTGTCCTCTGGGCCCTTATGATGAAGACTTTCTCCCCCTCCATCCTACCTCCATGACTCCCACGATGTGTTGGGGGGTCCTTAACTGTAGTGACCTGGAATTGGGAACAAGGTTTCCCCAGCAGGCTGGCCTGGCATAGCCTGATGGACATCAGCCCTAGGGCAGGAGACCCAGGGCAGTGAGGGTCTCCCACACTCACTTTCACATGCTGCAGCCATTTAATGGGATGTGGTAGCCTGTCTGGGTCCCCTGCCCTTCAGGAAGGGAATTTTATCTTGTGCCATGGTGGGAGAAACTGAGGCACAGGGCCAGTGAGTGACAAAATCACAAAGACTGTGTGACTGGAAAATGATCCCCAGGCTCAGCAAGGCCCCCACAAGATTGAGAAGCCTTTGGGCTGTAGCAGTAGCATGTTCTTGGCATGTGGCACCCTGGTTTACATCAGCATCTTGTGTGGGTAAGGGTGGGGTTTCTGGCAAAAAACAGTGGCCCATGCCTGTAATCCCTGCACTTTGGGAGTCCAAGGCAGGTGGATCACAAGGTCAGTCTCTCTCCATAGAAGGGGAAATTGAGGCTGGAGTTAGACAGAAGGAGCCTTTGAAGGGGGTCAGGTCAGAATAGCCTCTGTTTTCCATTTCTGTAGTGGCCTTCATGTGCCAGGGTCCCCCTACTGGACTCAGCCCCAGTGGATGGACAAGAAGCTGCTGGCCATGCCGGCCATCCAGCCCATTCACTTCCACTCTGACCACCAGCAATCCAACTCTCTCCATTTCCTGGCTAGAGAGCCACAAGGAGGTCCACAAAGAGTGTCACATCAGGGCATCAAGGTTGGCCTGGTGGTGGGGGCATGACCTTTGGACCTGGGAGAAGATGCAGGTGGGTCTAGGGTAGGGGGCTCTGCAAAACAGGGCCTGTGATTCAGTCCACTTAGCTGAGCATCCACCCACAGTTGGGGCACCAGCTGTGGAGCCTGGTGATGGAGGGTAGAGAATAAGCTCCATTCTCACACTCCTATAAAGAACTACCTGAGATTAGCCGGGTGTGGTGGCTCATGCCTGTAATCCCAGAACTTTGGGAGACTGAGGCAGATGGATCATGAGATCAGGAGTTCAAGACCAGCCTGACAAACATGGTGAAACCCTGTCTCTACTAAAAATACAAAAATTAGCTGAGCGTGGTGGCACATGCCTGTAATCCCAGCTACTTGGGAGACTGAGGCAAGAGAATCACTTGAACTGGGGAGGCAGAAGTTGCAGTGAGCCAAGATTGTGCCACTGCACCCCAGCCTGGGTGACAGGGCAAGACTTCGTCTCAAAAACAAAACAAAACAAAAAAAAACACAAAAAACTGCTGAGACTGGGCAGTTTATTAAGAAAAGAGCTTAAATTGACTCACAGATCTGTAGGCTGCACAGGATCCATGACTTGGGAGGCTTAGGGAACTTCACACCGTGGCAAAAAGTAAAGAGGAAGTCTGCACGTACTACCTGGTTGGAGCAGAAGGAAGAGAGCAAAGAGGAGGGTGCCACACACTTTTAAACAACCAGATCTCTTGAGAGCTCACTCACTATCATGAGAACAGCGGAAGTCCGACCCCATGATTCAATCACTGCCCACCAGGCTCCTCCTCCAAAGCCTGGGGATTGTAATTTAACATGAGATTTGGGTGCCATATCAGGCAGCATCCTGAAGGTGTACCCACTGGACATGCTGGGTGAGAGCTGCAGGCAGGGTCAGGCAGCAGATGATCCTTACAGTTTTTGTGTGCCCCTGCATATTGCTGTCCTTACTGGCCCATTCTGCAGGCATGGCAGCTGGCCAGCCAGACGGTGCTGCTGGGCAGTGAGGTGGAGTTACGCTGCAAGGTGTGCCATGACTTAGCATGTGGAGGTGAACAGCAGGAAGGTGGGCACTGGCGGCACGCCCTACCTCATCATGATCAACATGGACGCCACTGCTGGCTGGATCCAAGGGGTGGGCAGGCTGGGGGCCTCCACTTCACTGAAATCTACCACGATTATAGAAGTTTTAGAGGAGCCCGTGAAAGACAATTTTATGGCACTAGCCAGGAGACAAAATCCTCTGCAGTGAGTAGTTCTGGATATGGACTTGCTGCTAGTTCATGGTATTTTCTATAAACCAAGTCTGAAATTAGATGCACTTCCTCCTAAAGTGAGAATATACGTGTCAGTCAAAAACAGTGAGAATCACTTTTTTTTTTTTTTTTTCTGAGGCAGAGTCTCGCTCTGACACCCAGGCTGGAGTGCAGTGGTGCAGTCTCAGCTCACTGCAACCTTCACCTTGTGGGTTCAAGCAATACCAGCGTAAATCACTTCTGTGACTTTTGTTCCTTTCAAAGTTATTTGTTTCAAAATTGGTCAGGTGTAGTGGCGCATGCCTGTAATCCCAGCTACTCGGGAGGCTGAGGCAGGAGAATTGCTTGAACCTGGGAGGTGAGGTTGCAGTGAGCCAAGATTGCATCATTGTACTCCAGGCTGGGCAACAAGAGCAAAACTCTATCTCAAAATAAATAAATAAATAAATAAAAATTAAACAAATGTGAATACTGGTCAGGCGCTGTGGCTCCTGCCTGTAATCCCAGTACTTTGGGAGGCCGAGGAGCACATATCACTTGAGGTCAGGAGTTCAAGACTAGCCTGACAAACATGGTGAAACCTTGTCTCTACTAAAAATACAAAAAATTAGCCGGGCATGGTGGCAGGTGCCTGTAATCCCAGCTACTCAGGAGGCTGAGGCAGCAGAATTGCTTGAACCCAGGAGGTGAAGGTTGCAGTGAGCCGAAATTGCACTATTGAATTCCAGCCTGGGAAACAGAGTGAGACTCTGTCAAAAAAAAAAAAAAAAAGGCCGGGCGCGGTGGCTCAAGCCTGTAATCCCAGCACTTTGGGAGGCCGAGGCGGGTGGATCACGAGGTCAAGAGATCGAGACCATCCTGGTCAACATGGTGAAACCCCGTCTCTACTAAAAATACAAAACATTAGCTGGGCATGGTAGCGCGTGCCTGTAATCCCAGCTACTCAGGAGGCTGAGGCAGGAGAATTGCCTGAACCCAGGAGGCGGAGGTTGCGGTGAGCCGAGATCGCGCCATTGCACTC